CAGCAGCTTCCTATTCATCACACTGGCAAAGGTCTGTTACCCACCCCGCAAGGTAATCTCCAACTTTCGCAATTAAACTTCGTTCATAATCTCTCTTTTAATTTACTATCTGTTCATCAACTCACTAACGACAATAATTGCAACATCACCTTCTCCTCGCATGGCTATGTCATCAAGGATCAGACGAACAACACAACTCTTCTAACGGGTCCGTGTATTAACGGGCTGTACCCTCTCCATCCATCCAAGAACAAGAACGAAGCAACGCCACAGCTAGCCCTCATATCCGTCCAGACCGTCCACAACCTCTGGCACCGGCGCCTCGGTCATCCCTCGTCGGCAATCTTGTCTCAATTAGGGAAGCAATTTTCTCATATTTGTAATAAATCTTCCTCCACTAATTGTAATTCATGTAGAATGGCCAAGAGCCATCGTTTGCCTTTTCAACGATCTGTTAATAATAGTTCCTTTCCTTTCGAGTTAGTTCACTCTGATGTCTGGGGTCCGGCCCAAATTATTTCTAACTATGGTTTTAGATATTATGTTAGCTTCATAGACGATTACTCCAAATATACATGGATCTATCCTCTACTGCAAAAGTGTGACGTCTTCACAAAATTTCTCGAATTCAAGAAGATGGTTGAAGTACAATTTCAAGCTCAAATTCGTAAGATTAGGACAGACGGCGGAGGCGAGTTCATCAACAACAAATTCAAGACCTATCTCGCCACACAAGGTATTCTTCATCAGTTTACTTGCCCCTACACGCCGTCCCAAAACGGCGTCGCCGAGCGCAAACACCGCCACGTCACCGAAACTACCCGAACCTTGCTCATTGAAGCCTCTCTCCCTCCCTATCTTTGGGTAGATACTCTTCTCACCGCTGTCTATCTCATTAACAAACTTCCTTCCCCTAACACGCACAACAAATCTCCTCATGAAATCCTGTACCAAGAACCACCGAATTATCAGAACTTAAAGGTTTTTGGCTCTCTTTGTTATCCTTGGCTCAAGCCGTATTCCAATCACAAACTATCGCCTCTTTCCCACCCGTGCGTCTTCATCGGCTACGCTCCACTGCAGAAAGGGTATCGTTGTCTCGATACTCAAAATAACAAAGTTTACACTTCCCGCCACGTCATATTTAACGAACAGATTTTTCCATTCAAAAATCATATACCTCCAAATTCTTCTACTCCCAAACCGTTAACTTACATCCCTCCGCTTCTTCTCGTTCCCGCTAATTGCCTACCTCGGAACATCAATTCTCCTATTCCCGCTACGGCTCAACCAACTCCCATACTTCAGCCCAACACCCGAACCTCCCAGTCTACGGTTCCCACCACAGCGGCTACCATTCCTTGCAGCAGCCAAACTACACTTCAGCCTATCACTCATCATATGGCCACTAGATCTAAGACTGGCCATTCCAAACCTAAGAAAATATTTAATCTTTCTCACATCCTTGATGACTCCGAACCCACTAATTATACCCAAGCCAGCAAAAACGAGCAATGGCGTGCAGCCATGTCTCAAGAATTTCAAGCCTTACAAATGCAAGGAACCTGGAATCTCGTACCTCGCCATCCGTCTCAAAACATACTCGGTTGCAAATGGACTTACAGAACTAAGCTCAAATCGGACGGCTCGGTCGCACGGTATAAAGCCCGACTCGTTGCGAAAGGATTCAACCAAGAACACGGCATTGATTACTTAGAAACGTTCAGCCCCGTGGCAAAAATTCCAACCGTCCGAGTCTTTATCCTCGTCGCTCTCCACTTCAAATGGGCTATCCATCACAACATTCTCCAACGATTTCTTCTCATTGTCATTCTCATTTTTTTTGGAGAATGGTCAAAGTGTAAATATCAATTTTTGACACGACCCAAACCCGACACGGAAAAATCCGGGTTTGGGTCGACCCGGTTAGCAAACGGGTCTGGTTCGGGTTGACTAAGAAACCCGATAATGACTGGAAATGACCTGAAAATGAGTATGCCCGTTTCTGTTGCCCAGTGTGCCCGCCTTGCCCGCGAAATGACTCGATGCGTCGAGTCGCAGTCCCAATCATGTCACTGGCAGTCTCTCTCTGGCGACTGGCGCTGCGTCGCTTCGCAAAACATGAGTCTCGACGTTTGCGTGCTGCAGCCGTTACCGCCTGTTGCTGTGCCGCTGCTACCACGCCGCCGAGACCGACTGGCGCTGCAGCTATGCCGTGCTGCCACTGCTGTGCTGTTGCTTCCGCTGTTGCCGCCTGCGGCTGTGTCGCCGTTGTGCTGCCGCTACTTGGTGACCGGAACCCGCTATTTTCAAAATTTCGTGTCTTATCGTGTTGACCCGAACCCGATCCGGGTCGGATTCGGGTCCAGAGAATTGACCTGAAACTTGTTTCGAGTCGTGTCCGGGTCGGGTCAGATTCAGCCGGGTCAAATTCGGGTCTGACCCAAACACGACCCGCCGACACGAATTGACAGCCCTACCTCGTAGCCCATGCTCACTTATGGCGTGCCACGCTAGCATCCATCATGCAACCTGCACTCAATCCTTTGCCTTGTAAATTGCACCGGGTCAACATGTCGAGTAGGGTCGCTCAGTTGGGGCCGGGTCGGGTTCGGGTCAAATTTCTGACCCCTTTCCAGAATCGGGTTGGGTCAGGTCAAATACTAATGGGTCATTCTTGAATTAGACCCGAACCCTAGCCGAATACCGTTATGACACCTCTTTGATACTCCCCGAAAAATGTATAAAAAAACCGACCAATCATGCATTAAACTCACAATTAAATATAAGCTTGCGTCAATACTTGCTAAGAATAACAATGGCGACCACATAAGCTCTTCTGCTTTGGGGTTTGCAGGACAAACCTTCCTAATATAGGCCAAATTTAGCCACCTTATCTGTTATTGCATGTAAGAAAATTATAACGAATAAAGAAGTCTTCACCTGTAGAATAGACTTGTTCTTGGTAACATATATAACTTTTTTTTATACAAGTTGTCATTTAGATTCAATCAATCATGCCACTAAAATAATAAGATTCAATCAGGCAGTGATTAAATTTTGTTTTTGAATATTAATATTCATTTGAATAATTAAACCCATTTAATTTTACTAATTACTTAACTGGATATTAACTGCAATCATTGCTTTGCTAAGGCTAGGACAGTTTTCTTATTATTTTATTTTTAAAACAATAATTATTGGCAATTATTTTTTTACTATTTTTAAATAAATTACATATTAAAAATTTATTTTCTATAAAAATTATAAATTTTTATTTTCTCTATAATAATTTTATAAAACATAAAAGAAACACTCTACTTTAGAAGGAGATGGAAGGTGGGAAGTGGAAACTATAATTCCAAGGGGATGCTAATCATTAACTTTTTGTTTTATCCTATGTATTTATGATTGATTTCATGTATAATAACAAGTGTTTTTTATTCATTTAAGTTGAATGTTACAAAAAGTGTAAAAAATCATAGTTTTTTATTCATTTAATTTTATCAAAAATAAATCTTGATACATATGTATTTTAATTTGAAATTTTTTAGAGTTAAATTTAAATATTTGAACTACGATTTCAATAAATTTGTATAATTTGAGTCGAAGGATCTCAGATCCGACACTTGAAGAGCTATAAGAGAATTCAATACACTAATGAAGAAGAAAATAATCTATAAAGCTTGCATGCATATAATCAAACCGAGTATTTTGACGAGACAAATCCAATACGTCTAAAATCTTCTAACTTTAACATTATTAAGCAATTAAATATTAAAAGAATGCTCTATGATCAAGAATTCGATATAAGGGCATCTGATGAAGAGTTTAGAATTTTGACTATATTTATGGGTTAGGCTATTCTAAAAAATTTAGACACTTACTATATATATAAAGGTAGGTTTGGACTTTGACATGAGACTCACGAGAGCTCAGAGGCTAGAAGAATTTCAAAGCTCCATTAAAGCACTACCATCAAACCTTTGTCCAATCGTTGTTGTCAGACCACCCCCAATTACCTCTACTAGACCAATGTCATAAAACTATCATCGCTCGACTATAATTCTCGGACTACGATCGTCCAACTACACTCCTCCAATCACCAGTGTCGACTATATCCTCTGATAATCATCATTCGACTATAATCCTCCCACCACTATCGCCTAACCAACATCCTAAGACCATATATTGTTTCCCTTAGGATCCTCTGACAATCTTCGTGAGTCTATGGCCCTCCAACTGCACTGATATATGATGACTTTAGCACACATCATCACCAATAGTATCAATAGATGTCATCACATATAATGCTGATATATGTTGTCAACATCAACTTTGAACTCTAACGTAAATACCAAGATTAATGCTAGATTTTTTGTTCTTTGATCTCCTCTTCTCAAAAGAGAATGTTGAAACATACAATGAATAATCTCTTAAAGAAAACCCATGGAATACAAGTCTCTTCCATCTTCTAGCATGAAATTCGTTTCATAAAATTTACGTCTATTTTATTTTATCAACACCTTTTTCAATCACAAAAAATTGTATCAGCTTTCTAAATCTCCATATAATTCTAAGACGTTAAACCCTCCCATTCTATTGTCACAAACATTCAAAGACAGCAACCATTAAATTTGATTTATCTCTTTCAATTCTAATCTTCTAACTGGATTGTTGTATTTTCAATCATTAGTACTACATATTCGAAATATTTTAAATTTATTCTTTATTATTTTAATTGCAAGCCCATTAACATACAACAATTAGATACCGAAGCATGTAAGTCTCTCTGAAGCCATCTCATTTCCATTGAAAAGGTCGCATCAATGATGAAGAAGAAAGTGCAAAATTACTCTTCGAAAAAGAGATCCAATCCAACCTATAAAAGTTATAACTTTTATGCAGATGATTTAATATAAATACATAACTGAAAGTAGCTTAATTGAAGAAAAAAGCTAACTAAGCCGGAGCCATTTGAAGAAAGATTAGTCCGCGCTATGGCTCTTCGGCCGTTCTTCGTTGCGTTGGCTGCTGCCGTGATTGTTTTGTGCTTTGGTATGGGAAGCAATGCAACAGAGGAAGCAAACGATGAAGCCATAGTGCGGGCGACGTATCACTTGTACTGTCCGGAAACGATCAATTGGGATTTGGGCGCAGTGAATGCTTACTGCACCACCTGGGATGAAGACAAGCCCTTCGCATGGCGTCAGGAGTACGGTTGGACCGCCTTCTGCGGCCCAGTTGGGCCGGCCGGCCAAGCTTCTTGTGGCAGATGCTTGCATGTATAGAACTCAATATAATTACATTTATATTTTATATCTAGTATTTACTATTAACTCTCATAATACTCAATTCTTTCAGGTAGCATTAATATTATCATGTTCTTGTTAACTTCCCCGTTGCCCTATCGCCCGCATCTAGCTTTCTAAACTTCTCCTCACACACTTTCAAGCCTCGTTTGTTTCGGCGTTTTTTTTTTCCTTTTCTATTTAGAAACAAAGAAACTTTTTTTGGGTCGTTGTTTGGATGTGACGCTTCTATAGAAATGTTTTTAGTGAACTTCATTTTTCGACTGTTTTGAGGAGCTTTGTAATATTTGATACTCCGTTAGAAAACTCAATTCTCTTAACCATAATTTCTAAAACTATTTTTTACAAAAGGAGATGAAGAACCAAATGAAGCCTCAGTCTCTTTGTTGGCCTTATCTAGCAAGACCTCGTAGTCAAGAGTTTCGGGCTATTACATACTCCGGCAATGCCATCAATGTTTTCCTCCAATGAGATTCTTTGGTAACATAGATGCCCTTCTTCAGGGAGATCATATTGGGTTAAAGGTAGATTAAGATTTTGTTTGAGACGGTTTTTTTACTGCTTCTTAAAGCAGCTTTTTAGTAAAAAATTAAAACTTTTATACTAGAAAGCTACTTTAAGAAACAATAAGAAATCCGTCTCAAAGGAAGCCTAAGTAAATAGTAAAATTTAGACATTAAATATATAAATACAATAATTTTGAGTGTTATAAATACAAAATTCCCAATTATGTAATTGAACTTTCATTTTATTTATTTAGCAATGGAAATGATGTGAAGTGCAATTAATATAGTTGTTTTTGGATGAACTTGCAAATCATGCAGTTAACAAATGTTGAAACCGGAGCTGAAACAACGGCCAGGATTGTGGATCAGTGCACCAACGGAGGGCTGGATCTTGATTATCATGTGTTCATGAGTTTGGACACTGATGGCAATGGCATCTTTCGAGGACATCTTACCGTTAAATATAAGTTCATTGACGACTGTTAAATTGTGGCACAACAGTAACTCCGTGATGATACGGTAGAGTGAGCGGTCTTGGGAAGAATAATGTATTAAATTTTCCGTTAATAAGAAAATAATAATAATTTTGTTCTTTGTTTTTTAGATTTTTTTTTAGAAATTCTTTGGGAATAATTTTCTATTGAATTTATCTTTACCAAATCAGATTCTTTAACGTAGTCACATTTGGATGAAAATGAATATTTGAGATAAAAAACTTTAAAAAAGAAAAGGAATAAAAAAAAGGAAGAATTGAAGGCTTCCTTCCTTTGAGACAATTTTTTTTCTTCTTTATAAAATTGTTGTGGAAATCAATTTCTTAGCAAAAAAATTTTTTGAAATCAAAGAAAAAGTTATAGTCAAATGTAAATTATAGTTACAATCTGAAAAAACAAAATGAAGCCGAAATAAAATAGGATTAAACTCTCCATTCATCTTTTAGCTTAGGACCTTTTCTTATAATGACGATAAACATATTTCCTATATATATTTTTTTTATTATACATATATATATTATCTATATTTTATGAGTGGATTATTCATCACTTAGGGCATCTCCAACTGAACGTCAAATGAATGTCTGAAGTTGCTGCGAGCTCCAATCGAACGTCAGATTCAACGACATTTTGCATGTTCACGAACGCCATTTTTTTCGTTATTTTTTATTTCGGTTGGAGAAAGAATATACTAAGTAAATATATTATGTTATGAAATGGAGTTCGGTTCGTGATGAATTATCATATTTTAAAATAGGGGTGGAACCCCCTTCAGCGCACCCCCCCTAAAAAAAAAAAAAAAAAAATTCTTTATTATATGGTTCTTTAGATAAATTGTTTCCGTCCATTTATTTTTTAATGTTTGTAAAATGAGCTTTTCAGTTGGAGATGATCTTAGGCCACGAATGTTACCTTCAATCCAAATTTTAGTGTTGTTGCGTCCTGGAATATTCGCGGCGGTAGAGAAATATATAGTTTAACTTCTTAGCATTGTACGAAGATCCAGAACAAAAGCATAAAAAGAAAGGGTGTAGCGTTCATAAGAGACACTAGAGTTTTTACGTGGAAACCCTTAAAAAGGGGGAAAAACCACGGGGCCTGACCCAGTTTGAATGAAATTCCACTATTATTTATAGTTTATTACAAATGAGGCCCTTCCTTAGGAGAATGTATTGGCTTGATGTCACAAATGTACATATTATAGAGCACATCAATATAGACATATTTGTTTGGTTGGCAGGATCATAGTCGATATAACAAAGGTCGGAAAAATCGTAGTAGACGACAGAAGTTGGAAGGGCTGTAGTTGGTAGGAGTCCGGGGTTAGAAAGACCGTTGTCTTGCGAGGGAGTTCAGAAGGACCGTAGTAGGAGGACGGCACTCCGGCAAAACTCTGGGCGTCACGTGGTGGTCCGATAGAAGTTCGGGCCTCAAGTGGTGGTCCGACTACACTCCGGTGTCAAGTGGTGGTCCGCCAGTGGAACTTCAGCGTCAAGGGGCACTCCGGCTTCAGGTGACACTTCCACGTCCTTGGATGGTCTGGTGGTGGTTCGATAAAACCTGGCGATGTTATATCAAAGCTCCGGTGTCCCTTGGTGGTGCGGTATAACTCCAACAGTGGTGCGGCAGAACCCCGACGTCCCTTGGTGGTCCAGTGGTGGTGCGACAGAACCCCAGTGTCCCTTGGTGGTCTGGCAGTGGTGCGGCAGAACTTCGACTGTGGTGCGGCAGAACCCCAACTTCCCTTGGTGGTCCGGCGGTGGTGCGAGAGAACTTCGACGGGGTGCGGCAGAACCCCGACGTCCCTTGGTGGTCCGGCGGTGGTGCGGTAGAACTTCGACGGTGGTGCGGCAGAACTCTGACGTCCCTTGATGGTTCGGCGGTGGTCGAGGAGGAGCTAGGCGGCTGGAGCTTTCTTCTTTCTCTTCCTTCTTCTCTCTTGCCTTCCTCTCCCTTTTCAAGAGGAAATGGGGTTTATTTATAGAATTCTTGAGTGGCATGGATTATAAATAAGTGAAAGATCATGGGTAAATTTGGAGTGGTTTGGATGGACGGCCGATCTTGATTCCTACGATCATGCACCGTTCAATGGATCTTTGATTGTCTTAATGATATTAGAATTTGATGATCTTGGGCTTGTTGGATTCGTCTTGTCGAGCCGCTCGATTCGATTATAAACATGTCATGATTGAAGACCATTTAGTAACCCAAATTGTGGTTCGATCCTTCCAAAAGTGTTTCGAGTCTTTGATTTGGACTCATTTGGGCTCGGATTGAGTCGATTTTGGTGTTGTTGGGTTCGTGTTTCTGAGACGCTCAGTTCGACTGAAAGCTTGCTGAAATCGGAATTTAGATGGTCTCTGATTTAATTTTTTTGGAGCTTCCAACTTGATTCTGCCTCAAGATTCGTGCCTGATCAAGATAATTTTTTGATAATGTATCAAGTGTCTTTTTTAGCCAACGCAATGAGAGAGACTATTTGCATGGTTTGTAGGATCAGTTACTAATATTTCGGGCAAAGAAAATACTTCGCTCCATCAAGTTATCACAATTTTAATGCCAATTGTATATTAAATTTAATAAAAGAAATTGGTGATGGTTGGCCTGGCACCATGAAATATAATAAAGGTATATGAAATTCCATTTTGATAAAATGAACTCAATGTAATGCTCATGGGAAGATTTATAGTGGGGCCCTGGGGCACGAATTTTTATTTGGTCCGGTGACCTGACGTAGCTCTACGTTCGAACGCCAGTAAAATAGTGCCACGTGTTCTTACTTTTTACCACGCGGCCCGACAACCCAACCCGGAACGGCCCCGGGATTGCTATGTTCGCGTATTGCTATGTATTGCTCGGTATTGCTAGGTATTGATCGATTTTGCTCGGCAATAGCGAGAAATATCATTCGGTGAAGACCAATACTGAGCAATACCGAGTTTTGCTAAAAACTCGGTATTGGTCAATTTTGCTCGGCAATAACGAGAAATACCATTATGTGAAGATCAATACCGAGCAATACTAAGCAATACCGAGAAAAACTGAGTTTTTAGCAAAACTCGGTATTGCTCGGTATTGGTCTTGACGGAGCGGTATTTCTCGTTATTGCCAAGCAATACTTAGCAATACCGAGCAATACGCGAACATAGCAATCCTGGGTTCCGGTCCAGGTCAGGTCATCGGGCCGCACGGTAAAGAGTGATAACACGTGGAGATATATTATTGACGTCCGAACATAGAGCTACGTCTAGTCACCTGACCTAATAATTGTTCCTGGGGCACGGCCCTCCATTGTTCTAATAATTAATAAAAAAACAATTTAATTAAAATTGGGTAGATTATGATCGTATATTAATTTTAATTTAATTAATCTAAATATAGTTCAAAATCAAAGCTTAATTTAATTAATTCAAATAAAATAACCTTAAGTATAAAAACAATTTATTTGAACTCAATTCATTAATAAATAATAACCATTGGAAAAATATTAATTTTTTCATAAAGATAAAAAGTGATATATCTATTCTTTTTTAATGGGAATGCATATGATTTTAGATATATTTTTATAATTTTTCATCAAAAATATGTCTCATGAACTGTGATTACAATGGATAAAAATTATATTTTGAGAGTAATTTAATGACTAATATTAATTTGTGCTTTCATACAAAAAATTTTATGACTCTGCCCCTGATAATGCTATTCTAATACACACAAATACAACCATAATATTTATAAGGCCACTATTCTAAATATGACTCATCTCTCATTCATTATTTCATTGTGTATAAATCTATCTATCTATCTATCTATCGTCAGCTTTATTAAGAAACCCTAAAATCTTAAAGGTGAAGAATAGCCCAAAAAAATCTAATGATTTTATATAGAGTCATTACTATATGGTTCATTAGAATAATTTATAAATAATAAATTATTTAACAAAGATTTGTTCTTCAAATGATTAATATTAGAATGTCGAGAGTTGGAGTTGATGTCATATCAGTCATCAAGAGGGGAGATGACAATATCGTCGAGTGTCGGGCATTATTTAATATTGTGCAATGGGCATCGAGCTTTGATGTCAAGCACATTGACCATCGATATCGATGTCGATATGACATCCTGCATCGAGATTGAGATGATGATGGACGGAGGACGAAGGTGGGGCAACGAGATTGTGATGGTTTTTTTTTTTTTTTTTTAATACCAAGGGTGTGATTGTGGGTGTAGAAATTTGTGATGTTGAAGCATTAATGTTTCAATCTTAAGATGGTTGTTTTGACAACATTAGAGAGATGATATCATGCATCGTTGTGAAATCGTAATCGTAAACCGTTAAAGAGAAACGAAAATGGGAATGATCAGGGAGTAAGATATTTAGTACGAACAACTGATTTGGGGCTATATAGAGAAAATAAGAAATTTAGTTTTAATTTTTTTAATAAATAAAAACTTGAAGTATAAGAAATTATATATTTTTTAATTCATAAAATATTTATGGCACGTGCGTCTAATTTAGTTTTTATTATTTTTAATAAGACACGTCTTCGGGCCAGGTTGGGTCGGGTCGTCGGGCCGAACGGTAAAGAGTAAGAGCACGTGGCGACATTTTATTGGCGTCCGGATGTAGAGCTACGTCAGGTGTCCGGACCTAATAAAAATTTCATTAGGAGTTGATATGTGACTTATACTCTTCATATGATGTTCAAAGCTAAAAATTTCATTGGAATTCCTTCTTTCCGTTAGATAAAAAAGCAGGTTGCTAAGAAGCTATATACACAAAATATTCAATTAATTATTTACGCCCAATATTAAAAAGCTAATTGTATGATACGTTAATTACTAAGAAATATTAAATACATACACATAAATATCAATCAATATTATTTAATCTTAATAAAATTTTACTAGTGTTATTAGTTCTAACAAACTTTATATAAAATTAAATTAAATGTTATGATAGCTCTTAATATAATAGAACCAACTTCTCTTTTGAGAGTGAACAAAATAGGATTGTAAAATGTATAATTTTATATATGAAATAAATAAATGATTTTTTTTTTTTTACTTAGAATTTGAGCAATTGTATTAGTTGAAGGAAGGTGGGTCAAATAGCTAAAATGTTTATTCTTCTAAGAAAAAGATTTCATGATAGACAATTACCAACCTTAAGCTCTTTATGATTTCACCCCTAATTAGTATTAAGGACATCTTCCCTCACTGAATATCTATACACTCGAACCTGATGGAATAGAATACATAAAAGCTATCAGCAAGGAGAGATTATTACGTGCAAACGTCGAACTGTATTGGGTGATATGGCACGTCCGGAATGGCCTCCGGACACATTCGGTGTCCACACGTAATAATTTTCTTAGCAAAGACGACATAAGAAATATTTACTCTTTCAGATAATTGTAGACAAGAAAATAAATAAATATTTAACGATCATACAAGTTAGATTTTATTTGGGACGGCTTTCTTACTACATCTTAAAACTTTTTTCTTTGTACTAAAAAAACTACTTTACGAAGCAGCAAAAAAGCCATCCCAAGTCTTAATATGATCTAAGGTGCAATTGGCTTACATTTTAGCAAAATTAGGTAAATGTTCCCAAACATAATTTTAATCATTGAGCTAACTAACAGAAATCAGATGTTCCAATAGAATAAAAAATCAAGTTATATAAATTGTATAGAAATTTTTGGCTCTATTAACAGATTATTTTCGGATGCCAATCCCTCTTAATTATAAGTATAATTGCCTTATTATTATTGTAGGGATTACACAAATTAGATCTATCTATGAACAGCCAGTTATAACTCTATAATAAACTTGTATCTTAATAGTTATACGACAATAGTCGGATGATAGGAGTGCCGATGTTGATGATGATTATTGTTAGTGTCATCAGCTATTATTATTGTATTCCATTTTGATAAAAAGAAGGATTCGTGAAAATCATTTGATAATTAGTGGGCATAAGGTTGTCTAATCTTGCACAAAGGACTTGTTTTAGGCTTCGTTTGGGACAATTTTCTTACTATTTTCTAAAACGACTTTTTAGTAAAAAGATTTCTAATTCAAAAAAAAAACCTAGAAAGTCATTTTGGAAAACAGTTAAAAAGCTATCACAAACGAGAACAATTATTAGGTCCGGACACCAGACGTAGCTCTACATCCGGAGGCCAATAACATGTCGCCACGTGCTCTTACTTTTTACCGAGCGGTCTGACAACCCGACCCGGACCGGAACCCGGTATTGCTATGTTTGCGTATTGCTTAGTATTGCTAGGTATTGCTTGACAATAATGAGAAATGCCGCTCTATCAAGACCAATACCTAGCAAAACCGGGGTATTGCTCGATATTGCTAGGTATTAGTCTTCACAAAATGGTATTTATCATTATTTTCGAAGAATATAGAGCAATACCTAGCAATACCACTTTTTGCACAAATCAGCCAATACATAACAATCCTGGGTTCGGTCCGACTTGGGTCATCAGGCCGCGCGGTAAAGAGTAAAAGCATGTGGCATCATTTTACTAACGTCCGAACGTAGAGCTACGTTAGGACACCGGATCAAATAAAAATTCCACAAAGGAAGTCTTAGTAAATTCATCATCAACAAGATACTTTGGAAAATATTGACCTTTAGTGTGGGGAGAAAAGTTTGGCAAGTCTCTTAGCTTATAAATACGCTAAAATTTGTAATTAAAAAAACTGGTGGACGTGCCGGAGTGGTTATCGGGCATGACTAGAAATCATGTGGGCTTTGCCCGCGCAGGTTCGAATCCTGCCGTCCACGGCCTTACATATGTAGTTTTTTTTATTTTGTGTTTTTCTTAACTCCTTTAAAAACTTATTATTTTTTTACTACTCAAAAATTATTTTAAAAATTAGGACAGTTTTTTATTCCATTTTAAAACAATTTTTTAGTATAAAATACAAAAACTTTACTAAACAAAGCCTTTATTTTATTTTATTTTTTCCAATGACATGCAAAAGCTGATTTTGAAATAAATTTAGCGATTTATATAATATATTTAGGCTTTTACCAAGTTGAGCGGCTTGAGCCCAGGTCAATAAAAGTATAAATTATAAAGTAGTAAGATGAACAAATTAATATAAAAATTAAAGCACAGATATAAAACATAAAGGGAAAATTAATAAATATTTTAAAATGAAAACTAAAATATTACTTAATATTATGTTATTTTATTTTTAAAGTATAAGAATATGTTGGGGCATTAGGCCTCTATTATTACGCGCGGTCACCGGACAATTCAGAAGCGAATCAAATGCGTCATATCACTCGGTACACAACACTGATACACAGCAAAATGATGACGTGGTGCATCCTAATTCATCTCTGAATAATATTCAGTGATCATACGTAATAATTTCTCGTCAACAGAAGTCTCAGTTTTAGCTTGAATTGAGTCAAGTGGTGAAAATCTAAGCCAAGCAAGAAAGTTACAGTTCCTATATATATATATATTAAAAAAAAAAGACTCGACATGTCATTTCCATTTGAACTTAACTAGAAAAATCTGAGTTTAGAATAGCACATTTAATAGATTGGTTGAATTTTCCAACTCATTTATCAAACATGTTAGATTAAAGTTAACCCACGAGCTCATTTTTTATTCAAAAATATTCCAATCGAAATGTTTTTCTTATTTTTCTTACTTGTGAGTATAATCCTCTTATTCTTTATCAAATATGTTAAACTTCATAGTTAATAAGTTATAAAAAAAATTAATCAAGACAAGCTAAAATGCTAGGTTCAAGTCATTTGGATTGCTTGCGAGTTGAGTTCCGATTGATGTTTTTGACATATTTTTAAAATAGTTGTGTTCGGGTTGACTTGATTCAGAACTAGTAAAATTAGGGTCGGACCCGAACTCCGCATGTCAGCCCATTTTGACACCCCTATCTATAAAACTAAATATCACCAATTCAATAGAAAAGGATCCATATTTGCACAATCATAGAAGCTCTTACACCTCAAGCAAATGCATGATAGTTAAGCAAGCTATGACTTCCTATACAATGGATTAATGATTAGGCTCAAAATTAAATTAAAAAAAAAAAAAAAACGTGCCTCAAGTTTTTGAATGAACGCTTGAGATCTCTTCAAATTTGAGAAACAATGGTCCTGATGAAAAGCCACTGTAGCCCTCTTTCATCTGCTTATCTGAAGACTGCTATAAATCAATTAGAAGACTGGGATTTTTGCCTCAACTTGACAAAACTAGCTGGAAGATCTCTAAAGATCTCATCCTTCTTCACATTCTTTCAGATATGCATTAACACCTGGATCATACGTAGCTGCTATGCGCAAATATTTTGCAGCCTCAGACTTTTCACCCAATTGGAATAGAGTGCTGCATTTCAGTAAATTTAGTAAGAATAAATCATTTAAAATGACTAAAATCCAAAGTCTAATGAAAAATGATAATTTGCCACCTTCCCAACATCACCAACCCCCTATAATAGCAGGCTTTGTCCATCGGACTATCTGGCTCCCTCAACTCTGCAATCTTCTTCAGGTGTTCTATCCCATCTGAGTTTTTTCCCTGCCGATAGAGCACTTTTGAAGATCACCCATTATACATTTCATGGTGAATTTGATCAGAATTAGACAGTACAGCACAATTAACTCACCTCCCATATCCTCGAAACTCCAGCCCCAAAAAGTGAAAGAAGTAGAAGGCCAATTTCCTCCTCTTTAATCTGTTCTTCAACCAATTAGACAATACATTATTAGTTCATTTCAATACAAACAATCAGAAAATTTTCAAGCAAACAAAATAGAAATTTGTTTCATGTAAAACATTTAAGAGCATACATATGAGAGCTTATGGATGGCAAGTTCAAAATTTTCAGCTGCTTCTTCAAATAACTTCTTAGAGCACAGAATCTGTCCTATGGCAACCAATGCTTGTACTAGTTCAGGATCTTTCTCAATTGTTGTTCTGTACCGTTAGCATTGCAGAGTTTAATACAGAGAAACAGGAAGGATTCATGCCATAATTGTTCGACAAATTTTACGCTGGCTGTCGCAGAGAAATAGGAAAAAGAAAAAAAAAATTTAAGATGATTACTGGCAACTACAAATTTCATTATACTACTTACCGCAACAGAATAAGTGCTTTATCTTGATCACCGGCTGCCATGTCCTTGAGAGCAAGCTTTTTATAAGACCATAAAACAATCATGTAAACCAGCAGTTGCAATTCAACATTTTAAAATCAAATGAGTTAAATTAGTTTACCTCGAGCAGCTTCTTAGGAGGTACAGCTTCTATAGGAATTAAGACCTCAGAATCTGCAGCACTATTATGGTCGTTTTCTGTAGCAACTCTGTTCTTCACCGGCTCCATTAAATTCGGCAAACCCAATTGATTTCGAACATTTGGATTTTTTAAACACAATTGCTGCATAAAGGAAAGGTCGATTTCTGTCATTAAGTGGATCGAAAAAATGTATTGATATACATATATTTGTGCTTTCATGTATGTATGCGCACAAAGATATAGCATTCATTGTATACAGAAATTGGTTCATGGTTTATGTCAAGCATTCTAGTTTCTTTTTGCAGCCGTTTGGTTGGCTGAAAAAGAAATGCAAAATAAAATATAATGCAGTTTAAAAGGAATATATTTGAAATATTTAGTGGAAGAATGTGAAATAAAATGAATTCAGTGTAAAACCCAATGATGATAGTAGGTGATTGCCGGCAAAAAGAGGCGAGTGGGTGGCAATCAAAGGCAACGGTGGCTGCGACGGAGTTGGGGACAAATTGCGATGGGCGATGCTGGCCAGCAACAATCAGTAGCGGCTAAAGGCGGTGGGTGTTAGCAACCGATAGGGAAAACCGGCGGCAATGCTAAAGAATTTATATTGTATTTAAAAATCACTCAAATCTAACGATTTTCAAATACACCAAAATTGTACTAGATAAGTACATTCCAACTACACCAAAATTTTACTCTGCGTTTCTTTTACTTCAAAAAAAATACTCATACTTTCAAAACATTTACATTTAAAATACTTTACACCCATTATACTTCAACCAAATAGCCTCTTACCGATATTTTCAAAACATTTGCATTTAGAATACTTTACATCCATTTTACTTCACACCAAACAACCCCTTAGCCCAAGGGGTACAAACTCAAAAAGTTTGGTCGAATTGAACAGTCAGTCCAATGAGTTTTGAATTGTGGGTTCCAAAAGTTCACGCCCTGACCTCCCGTCTTTTAGGAGAGCTTTAACGAATTAAGTTATGAGGTAAATTTTCAAAAGGCAGATTGGGTTTTAAACAAGACACTAACCAGAGTTTTCGCCCTCATTTTGCGAGGACTTTATGATGAGTTCAGGTTTATAGGCGCAAGCCTCTATAGTTGATTAACACTCCCGATAGCAAGAGAGAACTTTCGATTAATACCAGTCGTCGAATAAATACGTAGTATCGAACATATATGTAATATCTAGCTTATAGTAGCAACATGGTTTGGTACTTGAAATTTAATATTTAAAATTAAAAAATTTACCATCTTACACTTAAAGCAAATGGTGGGGGAATGATGATGAACCCGATCAAAATCCCATAGTTCTGTCATCTCGGGTCATCATGGTCTCTGGTCTGCAGTCGACCTAACCTGACAGAAAGATCCTTGCAGCAGCTATAGGTTGTTTCATCCGAGGATACCTTGTAAACCTGTGATGAATATTTATCTAAATGATAAATTTGAATCCACCTTAGCTAACAGAGGACTTTGTGTCCTATCTATTATATAATATTGATTCATATCTAAATGATTTGATGTCATTATGGAGCATTCAGGCTATGACTATAACCATAATATAGTGGGGTTTAGAAATGCATGTTGTAGCCTCTCGTATGGGTAAAAAATTTACTAAAATATGAGTGCGGGCCCCAAAATTTTTTTGGAACCACTTTTTTAATTTATTATTATTTGCTCATCTAGAAATGCATGTCATAGCCTCTCGTATGGGTAAAATTTTGAATTTGGACTCATGCAGGGACTCAAGTAAGTTTCCCCTTTGATAAATTCGACACTTTGAACATGTCGATGCAACCATTTTGCAAACAAACAATATTTTGAGTAATTTTTATCACGAGCAAGTTATTTCAAATCATAGCTCTAACTATGATCTATTACATAAATTCCAGTTTGTCTTACAATTAAGACAACCTAAACTCACAGCTTGCCATGGTTAATCGGCCGGCCTCAAAGTTCCTAACCTTCGCCAAATTTTAGGCATGCATAGTTGACCCAAACAAGCCCATACATAGGCCAAAAGCCCAAATCTTTGATAAGAACAACAAGAGTTTAACACAGTGCAAATTCTAACCAAACTGAATAAGATACAAAATAGGCCTTACAATTATAATTTCAGAATTAATGATAGAAATACCATAGCATTATATCTTCGAATAAGTGGTAAAAAAAAACAATGAAACGGGAAAAATGCTAAGAAATACCCCTTCAATAACTTAAGTAGCCTATTACACCATAACATCATGAATTGTGTCCACCCTTAAGTATTAACAAATTTATACTACAGTTTGCATGTTAATTAGATACCACTAAAAAACAAACATATGCATCTAACTAATACCGTCCAGCTCACCTGTATTAAAGTCAATGAACTGTTGGTCACCCAATAAACCAAACTTCCCTGAAAAAGAAGAAAAATTAACGTCAAAAAACTACATACAATTACAAAAACAGGACTATTGTCATCAAAAGACAATCATGAGCTGGGCATCAAAGGTTTATTTTTTGCCTCGCCTTACAGAACTTCAAACAATGGTTCCAAGTCCATATGCCAGTTTGTCTTTAACTGTTTAAATTTCAAACACTCAAGTTGAGCGGCAATTTAACTACAAAAATTAAGGGTCTGATGTTAAGTATTATATGTCTTTAAAGATGTTACAAGAGCTTTATGTTTAGACAACAATGTAAAGAAAATTGCCAATTTAACATCAGAATATCTAATGAATAAACTCACAATGACAGTAAAGTTTTTCAAGATTTTAATTCTTCAAAAATAACTAACTGGAGATTTATTGCGAGTATGAGGATTGATTTTAGGGTTAGAATGCATTTTCTCTTCAATTTCTAGCACCAAGGGAAAATAAAATGTTGTAATTAAAATTTAAACAAAACTATTCCGATTATAATGACTATTCTTAAGGGAAACAGTATCCTACTATGGGTTTTGGGGACACTTGTGGTTGTTTTGGAGTTAAAATGCAGGATCGTAGTTATTTGTATCCCTTGAGCAGTAGTTTCGTGGTTTTTTGGGTTGCCACAATGCCACTCCCCCCCCCCCCCCCCCCCCCCCCCTTTTTTTTTTTCAGAAACAGTTACTGCAGTCCTCCTAGGGGACTATAGCTCCCTCCGTTTGTTTTGGCTATGGATATAGTGCTGCTTTGCAGCTTTTGCTCCTTTGCTCCAATATTTTTTTGGGCAGTCCTATTATCCTGTTTGTGTTTCATGAAGTCCATAAATTGGTCTATTGAGGCACGTAAAATGAGACTTCTATGACTTATAAACATTTGTTTCAAATGTGCAAATCATTCTTCTCCATAATGGTAACTAATCTTTAACCAGGTGGGAGACAGAGACTATTTCCTTGTTAAAGGAGAAGGGAACTAAATGTTCATCACAAAGAAGTTAAATTCAGATACATCTACAAACAATTAAATTGGAAGGTCTGTTAAAAATTCAACAAAATCGTTGCAAGTAAAATGGTGACAAAGTTCATTCTCCAAATTATTTACAGCCCAATTAGATTCCGCAATCTCAAAGAAATATTGTGACCCTCGCTCATACTGTGAAGAATACCTTATATTCTCGTTACTCACCTTGTCCCTTTCTACCATGATGCCATTTAAAAAAAAAAATCATGGTAATTACTTCTAAATGGAGAACGAAGGTGCATTAATTTCACCTTGTAGTTTAACTTTACATTAGCAGATCATCCCGAGAAGTCAAACTTTCAATGTGGATGATCTTTGCTAGCAATTAGTATAATGACGTGGGACTTTGTGCACAAAATAAAATCATAATTTTGTAAAGAAATGGTTTATGGACCAACCTGGGGAATATAAAACCCAACAAGGAACAGTGGAATTGATAGAATATCCAGATACAATTTGTAGAACTGCAACAAAAATGATAACATAAGAAGGTAGAAAAAGTTACAAAACTAGTAAGAATATGAAATTGTGAAGCATCATAATTTAAAACTCCCATTGTTGTTCCCAAAGCCTAGACTATAAAAGTTAAAACTTAAGAGTTGATCAGGTTCAAAATGAACCATAAACCTTATATAAAATCTAATTAAATGAAATGTAGCACTCTATACAAATGAATGGAAGTGCATATTCATAGAATCAGCCTCACATAAACGGGATAAGTGCATATTCATAGCATAAATACAACGTTTTAATAAGCCAATGAGGAAAACATCATAGCAAACAATGGTAGAAGTCCTATTTTGCCAACTCACTTTTGCCAACAAACCTAAAACTCCTTGCAGATTTGCAATTTTGATTGTTCGAAAAGATATCTGTCAGGAACCAGAAATCAAGATCAGCTACCAATCTGAAATTATACAAATCGAGTATGAACCAGCACCATGAACTAAAACATTAATCTGAAAAAAACTGTGCATTCATAAAATATATTCAAACAAAAACATTGATCTAAGAGATGGTTAATTACTATCACATTCAGACAAAAAGAAATTTCGTAGAAGCTCATTTAAATGTTGTCTGAAGTACCTTGATTTGGTTTACTACAGTAATATGTGCTGTTTTCATCCCCAATAGTTGAGATCAGGTTAATTTTCAACACTATGACGTACATGCTCAGACCATGCAGATCAATTTCCTATAATATTTCCCTAAATTCTTAATTTTAGTTTCAAAACTGATGTGAACTATTGCACATTTGCATTCCAAATTGAAGAGGAACATGTGAAGCAAGTCATGTGTTCGGCTTGTGAACACATGCTACAATTACGAAGAATAAAGCTTTCATATACAAGTCTTTCAATTTAATTAACAGCGAAACAAAATCATCGGAAAAACAACTAGATAACTAGTAAAGTGGGAACAGAGTTTTTGTGCAACCATGGTTGGTAACAAAATCTGGCATCACAAATGGATATCATGCAGTGATTAGATGATAAAATAGCTTAGATGTAAATAGGTTAAGAACAGCAATTAATGATATTACCTGAACATTTATGTAATGCAAACCAGCAATCAAGGTAGGGAAAGTAAAGCACATAATACCACTTGGATAATCAGTCAAATTTAGGAACCACAGAGCACCGCCCTGGAAAAAAAAAAGGCAATAAGGATGTATTGAATATAAAGTATAACAACAACAACAACAACAACATCAAGCCTTTATCCCACTACGTGGGGTCGGCTACATGAATATAAAGTATAAACATAAAAAATGGAACAAGACCAATAGTAGAAGTCATTTACAAGTTAAGAGTTCTTGTAATTTAAATAACGGCATTTTAAGCAATTAAATATTTTCTGTCATTCCGCTCCCAACAGGAATCCCAGAATAGCTAAATCTGGAAATGCCTTTGTTACTTAAAGTACAGGAGTGCCTTCCTCCAATCCGATTGCATTGAATCTCTCCCTATTGTGGATATTATTATTTTCATGAGAACAACATTCATTTAGACTCCTCTACCAATGGCTCATATGAAAACTGATTTTATGAAAAATGTTATTCAAGGACATAAAATCATACTGGAAAAAAAATCCTTGAATTGGAAGGGGGGGGGGGGTGGGGGATCGGCGGGATATCCAAGGGGAAGGGGGCGGCGGGTTCCAAGAGGAGAGGGGGCTAGGGTTTGGAATTCAATTCTATTCAATCCCTCAATAAATCTGAAATAAATTTCAAATTTAATTGTGTTTGGAGGGAATTAATTCAAGATTTGAATTTGAATTCACCTTGGGTTGAGGCTAGATTTGGAAACACAAGGGGAGAGCCCATTAATGGGGGACCGGCGGTATGGGAGGGAGAGGAGAGGAAATTATTTTAATAACCTGAAATTATTCTCAGGTTTAGGGGGAATTAGGAGGGAAAAAGTATTTGAAATTGATTTGAAACTCATGTGTCATCAATGCATTAATGGGGGGCATTGATGGGGCTCCATCAAAATGTGGCCGGCAGCTTATAGAGGGGAGAAATTGATGTGGGGGCAATGGAATGTTTTCCAAATCAGCACACAAGATCTAGGAAGGAGTATGAAGAAATCCATTCGAATTTGAATTTCGTCATGATGCGCTTTCAAAACTTTCCTAATTAGGATCTTGACAAATTTGGAAAGTTTTACAATTTACTCAATTTTGAATTTCACAATTTGAGCAAATGGAGGAATGGGGAAGGGAGGCTGGCAGTGAGGTGGTGGGAGAGGTGGTGGGGAAGGGGTGGCCGGCGGCCAAAGGGATGGCCGGCAGATGGGCTTCAGTTGGTGGAGGTGGAATTAAATGGGGTTCGATTTGGAGTTGGTGAGAAAATGATTTAGGTGATGGAAAATGAGGGAAAACACAAAAGAAGATAGAACGACCTTAACCACGAGCCGCGGACTCTTCCAACGACTGGTGGGCCTTGCGAATTGCTTCCCTTGAGCTCTCTTCCCTCTCAAGCACTCATGCTAGAAAAGTAGAAACAAAACATCAATCTTCATTCCAATATTCATTAGCCATTACAAGAGAAAATACCCATATATATATATAGGTCTCAAGCATACAAGAAAAATAAAGACTAAATTGCCCTCAGGGCCCCAACATGACTCAACTCAACATAAGGGTACAAGAGGAAGACATAAAAATAAAATGCATAAACAACTAGAAATATAAGCTCTGAATTGTGGCCATCGATCTGCGATGCTTCCGGCGATACACATGTTTGAACCTTGGATCGATGTCCTCATCAGCCTTCCTCCAATCCGATTGCATTGAATCTCTCCCTATTGTGGATATTATTATTTTCATGAGAACAACATTCATTTAGACTCCTCTACCCATGGCTCATATGAAAACTGATTTTATGAAAAATGTTATTCAAGGACATAAAATCATACTGGAAAAAAAATCCTTGAATTATCATCAACTAGTTGTCTGAAGCTGATTTTTCTACTAAAAGTTCATTTTCCCTCTTTAAGGTTAATCAAGGAGAAATATTCCTAAAATATTCAAACCAATTCTATAAGGAAAATAATTATTCAGTCTCTATGTAATAATCTTAGAAAAATAAGCTTATTGCTCCTAAATCTTTTGAATCATTTCCAATTTTTGGGAAACAACTCTCTCATTTTCCAGATGATATTCTTCAATCTTTGACATGTTCTTGTGATTTCATAAATTGAATGCCCCAATTTCTTCTTTGGAACCTCAAGCTTTTTTCCTCTTGTTTAGTATGTTCTTGAGTTTTGCTTCTGATATAAATTTTGGTACTTGGAATATTCCTTGTTTAGGTTCTACCATAAAGAGGACTATGATCAAAGAGGAGTGCCTAATAAAAATTTTTGATATTATTTGTCTATAAGAAATTAAACTCGAGGATATCTCCCTAGCATTATGAGAGACATCATTGGCAACAGTTTCAATGGGTAGATTTCTCTACTATTAGTAACTCCAAGGATATTTTATATTGATGAAACTCTTACTATTTTGATATTCTTTACTCCAAGATGGATATTTATTTAATTAATATTCATATTCTCAAGAAACTGTAAAATTATTTTCATAATTGTTTATGCGCCATCTAACAAATATGAAAAAAATCTAATTTTGGAATGAATTATTGGTTTGAGCTAGTCTTCCAAATGGATGTTGTGTGGTGATTTCAATGATAATTTGCCTTTGAATGAAAGATATTCTAACAGCACAAAACAACCTTCATGTTTCTTCATTGATTGTGTCAATTTTTTTTACGAGATCTTGGGTTTAATTCATCATGATTTGATGAAAATTTTCGAATGTATTCTTGGGGAAAGCCTCTCTTGCCAGTTTGAGTTATGATATTATCTCCCAAAAAAGAGGTTTGTGACAATCAAAATTATTTCAGGCTTATTAATCTCCTTAATGAGATTTTCAAAATCTTCACCAAAGTATTGGCTAATAGGCTTAGACTCTATTTTCATCATCAGTTGGATCATTCTCATGTAGCCTTTATTGAAGGAAGAGAAGCCCTTGAGTGCATCATTGTTTCTCATGAAGTCATTCACTCCAATTCCATGAAATAAGGTGGACTTTGGAAAAGCTTTTAACTGTTGTAATTGGAATTTCACTTATGCTACTCTGAAGGAAAGACCTTTTTCCTCCTAAATTCATCCATTGGGGTTAATCCTTAAGTGCATGCTAATTTTCAAATCCTTGTTAATCATGAGCTCCCTAAACTATTCAAATGTTTCAAAAGTCTAAGGCAAGCTGGTCTCTCATCTTTTGTCGTTAACATTAAAGATGTTTTTCATGAAATGCTTAGAATTGTTTGAGAATGATGGTTAGATTAAAGAAAACAAACACAATAATTGCAACATCATCAACAACATTCAACTTGTAGAAGATGCTCTTTATTTTGTAGCACAACAAGCCATCAGGTTTTGGGTCTCCAACATTTTGTTTCACTTTTAAGGTCTTCAAGCTTGAACTTAATTTCTCTAAATCTTCTTTGATTTAGCTTGGTGGTTCTCAAGATAAAGTTCTTCCTATTGCTAATGTGTTAGGATATTCCCATTTAAATACTTCTTCTCAGATATTTAGGCTTGCCTCACTCAATGATGCTACTATGCCACAAGATCCACCTAAACCCAAGGATGCTAATGTAACTATGGATTACAAAGTCTCGGCCCATCTCCTCAAATTACCTGCATTGCTAAGCATCTATGACTCCCTCATCATGTCTAAAGACATCCGCGAAACACTTGCTAAAGCTTTGCAAAATCCAGAGCAATATGAGGTGTTCTTTGTCAAACAAGCATGAAATAAGCTTTGTCTGCTCTTGGGAATAGCAAATCACAATCGACCACTTTATGTTACTGCTAAGAGTAACAATATTCAAGTAAACATAATATTGATTGATACAAGTTCCTCTGTTAATATGATGAGTCTCAAAATACTCAAAGGACTAGCCCTTGATGTTCAATATTTGAACAAAAGTATAGTATCTCCAATGAACAAGGACAAAGAACCTTGGGATCCTTGGTCTGACCTCCAAGCTTTGGGGAACTCTACACAGAAGCAAGATTTCATATGATTGATTCTAACACATCTTAGAAGGCACTCTTCGGAAGACTGTAGCTCCATGAAGATGGTATTGTGTCTTCAAAACTTCATTAATGCATGAAATACAACCTAGATAATGAAGAACATCAAATCGATGGCGATGAACAACCACTCTTGGTGCACATGGTTAAAATCTATGATGACGCCAAGTACTTTATAACGCAAAAGCCAAAAATTGTTGCTCTTCCAGAAAGTCGGACTTCTACATTCAATAAGACAAAGCTAAAAGATAAAGGCAAAAATAAATTGAAGCAAATTAGCTCAGTGTCTCATCTCAGCAATGATACTGAAGAAGATGATGATATCTCCAAAACCTATAAGCCTCTGATCAGAGAAAAAAGGATAAGTGAACAATCAAATGTCTCTTTTGATTATGAAGTAAATCGTGCAAATAAAGTACGATGCAGCTCTTCAAGTAGAATGAGTGATGATAAAGAAGAAGAATTCTTTTATCAACCCAAAAATACTATGGAGCTTCATATTGAAGGGGATCCGAGGCCCAGTTCCATAATTAAGAAGTTAAAGAAAGTTTCAATTTCATTGATAAGGATATCTAAAGGTCAGATACCGACAAACGTCATCAAAATAGTACCCATGCCGGCCGCGCATTTTAAACTTTGATTTCCTCATCAAACACACTTATAGAAGTGTTGAAAACCTTTTATGCTCCCCCAAGGAGAGGTTACAATGAACGTGGAATCTTTTTATATGAATTAAAGGTGGTATTAAGTCATACTTCACATGAAATAAAATGGGAATGGGAAGAGGAATACAGGTTTCTAGTCATCCCTTAATATCCCGCACCCCTTACAAAAAGGCTTGTTGAAAGAAATATCATATGGACGCAAACAAACAAGCAAGCCCGTTATTTCAAAAATATTTGGCATAACGAACATACACAAAAGCCCATTGGAAAAGGTTGGTCTACAACATGGGGTCTTGGATATGCTCAATCTCCATGCCATATACTAGCAACATCCTATAACATTACAGACAAAGATAAGGAATCACCCAAATCTAAAA